TGCATCATCAGCTGTGCTCCAAAGCTAGCTAGAAAGTATGAGATTGAACATTGATCGCCATCTAGTAAAACAATTAACTGGCCAGCGGACAGCTTCCAAATAAATCACGTCACCTCGATGAGTTGACAGATGAGCCCGCGATATGGTCAGTGGCTATCCTGTTTTGACAGCTGTCAATTGACCATATTGTGAATGTCCAGTATAAAAGATGTGGATTTGCCAAGACACGCCTGAGACACCCCTCCCTTACTTTTGATAGTCTCCCCTACCACACCCGTACAATCTGTAGACGCGTACGCTCGGTCAATCACATGACAACCAAACGACCATATTCTAATATATAGATTTAGCCAGGGCTAAAAGCGAAGCTCTGGTTAACAAAAAAATATTAAATCGTGTAATGCTAAACGGGGAGGACAATGGAAATGGCTTCAAGGCTAATAGATCTAATTAGCAAAAAAACAAATAGCACGTGCAGCACACTTTCTCTTCTAATTAGCAAAAAACAGATTTGCACGTGCAGCACGCTTTTTTGTCTTTTCCTTGCCGTTGCTTTGCACGACTACAACGCTGTTTTGTACGACTAAAATGTCAAACTTCCTAGTTACACATTATTTTTACGGAGGAATTGTCGTATGTGCTTACCCATTTCCTGTGTTCATGTCCACTTTTATTTTTGACTGCCGCTCATTTCCACCTTGCTGGCTACTAGCATTTCTCATTTTCTTTCAATTTCCATGTTTTTCTTCCTACAAAATTCGTCTCCTTTGTTCTCAATAACTCGCTCTAGCTCTTTCTCTGTTATCCACGTTGGTGTAAACAAAAAACAACGCAGAAAAAGACTCGACTTTGTTGTTGTTGTTGTTTTTTTCTAAAAGTCCGGGTAGCCATGCGATTTCCTTCCAAATAAGACCTTGAGTTGCATTTGGGTTGCCATACCTGTTGATTGAGTTATTTTACATTGGTATGCCTGTGGTGCGGATGGACTGTCGCTCGCTCGGTGTACGGTCACGTGATTACCTAATTTTCTCGGATGGGTAGATTTCCAAATTTCCTTAGCTGTGGAGCTCCGCTATGAGTATGGGGTTGGGAGTCCCGCTATAAACCTTAGTAAAATAGGAGAGCCGACTTTTCAGTAACCTTGTTTAAATTGTGTTCCGTCATTTTTAACCCTGTTCTGTAGGCGAAAATTAAATATGCCCGTCCCTAAAGAACTAGAAAAAAACTTTGCATAATTGTAGTTTTTCTTCAGCCTAACAGATTAACGTGATGAAATGCCATTTATGACGTCATTAGTGTGAAAATTGTTATTTTTCACTATTTTAGACATTTTTTCTCGTCCGTAGAATCCAATTTCGTTGATGCTGTTATTTAATTCTTGCAGTACTTCTTAAGCTTGATCAAACGAAGATTTCCCCGATTAATTAAATTTTGGCCACGTGGAGAAGGGGGTAAAAAAGGGAAAAACGCCAAGTATTCACATTTTCACCAGGGTCAAGTCCCGTTAGAGCAGAAACCCTCGAGGACTACGAGTCGGAATTTCTTTAAAAACTTTACTCTCTACATTAACGTCTTAAGAATTAGATTTGCTGTAGAAACCACTTTAACGGATAGATATTTCGATATTTAGATGGACTAGACGAACTTGTTAATGGTAGCAAGACTAGGTAGCTGGCCTAAAGAGGTGGAGAAGATGGAATTTCAATTGATACCTAACAGAAGAAAAGCGGTAACCTCACAAGGAAGAGAAATTAGATATTTTAAAAGAGAGAAAAAATGACCGATGTTACCGCTAATTAAATGTTAAAGATCCCGTTCGTTTTCCTTCATGATGAGAGTTACAACAGTAAAAATGTGCTGTCGGGGTGTATAAAAAGTGTTACTGAGTCTTTAATAGCAACATTTCTCAACGAGGGAATTTCCAATTGTTTTAGTCCGCCAACGCCTGTAATTTTTGCCTGGTATTTCGTTACAAGGGTGATGTTACTAACAGCGAGGCGTCCACATGGGAGAGAATTGGCTGATTCTAATCAAAAGAATTGCGAAATTAATTATTAAAACATCACAAGACGACAGTTTTGAATTAAGACGCATTCGTTCCTTTCAGAACCCATAGCTGCCTTGTCAACAATAACATCACTCAGGAGCCCATCAAATGGAGCCTCCATCTCCCATACAAGCCCTTGGAGTCAACCCTTTCCCGAGTAGATTTATAATTAGAACGGTTCCCAGGGGAGACTTCGCGCGCCGACGGTGGGAAGAGCCAATCACAACGACGAAATGACACTGCTATTGTACTTCCTCAAACAGCAGGAAATTCGGTGTCGACAGGCCAAACACAATCATAAGCTAGTGAAACGTGACTTTAGAGTTTTCATCCCTCAGAGATTTTCTTTTTTTTCTTTCTAGCGGGTAGATTATACCGTGGAGAGTTTTAAACTCTGACTCACATTAAGAGGCCATGAAGCTGGTCTGTTACATGCATAATGATTAACTACTACCTACAGTCTGTAGTTCTGACAGAATTCGTTTTCTTTAGCCAATTTTTTTGAGCGTTAAGGTTCTTATTTCGGCTAAATGACTCAATATTAATCAAATTTCTAGTTTTTCAAGGTTCTTTTTTTCCGAAATGCGTTTATCTGAATAAATACTTGTAGCCTTTGTGGTTGTTTTGTCCGTCAGCTAGTGTGATGATTCCCTGCTATGTTTTGTAATGCCGGGCCCAGCCATTGTTTTCTCGCAAAAAAGTGATCTTCAGATGCGAATTCGAAGGAAGGAATTGAGCCTAAACTTCTACATTAACTGCTGAGAATTGTCCTGTTGGTCAGTCACGATTCTTTTGGTGCAGATACAATCCATTTTGTTTTTCTTGAGATAAGTGGGTCTTTGGACTGGAGCGCGATGTCACAAATTCCTCCGTTAGCAAATTACTTTTGAGTTAGCTTCACGGTCGAGCAACTGTCTTCTGTTCAACTTTTCAAGTGCCAGTTTTATCAGGCAACTCTCATGGTGATACAAGTCAGTTGCAAAGGAAGACTGCAATTTAACAAATTTCGGAACTGAAGCATTCCTCGTTAGTTGCTCCTTAGGTCATCTCTTTTGCACGCGAAATCCACTCCACGGTGATGACAAAAATCAAATGATCCTGGCACTTTTACGGCGCTGATCATCGAAAAGTTCCAAATCGTCCACAGAACGCTTAATCGTCGACTCTTTTCTAGGTGCATGCTTAAATGTGGGATGTATGGCGGCAAAAAAAAAGAAATACTCGCAAAGATAACCTTTCCGTGATCCTCAGTTAGCTGCCTTTGTTCCATCGCTTCGTGCTCAGTCTCAGTCGGGTAATTGGTATATACTTCATGGTAATTCATTAACTTTTATTTCATGATACCCAGATCCCAGCGGCTGTAAAATTGTAAAAATGGACGTAAAGTAAAAAAGGAAAACGGTCGAAGGACGGGCTTCTGAGTTCGACTTCATCCAATTTTATTTTTTCACCGTGACATACGAGACTTACGGATATATGACACTTTTCGCGGGAAACAAGCCGTTCTATTTATAAATCTACTCGGGAAAGGGTTGACTCAAGAAATTAATGGAGATGGAGGCTCCATTTGATGGGCTCCTGCATCACTAAAGGTATCGCAAGGTTTTTTTTTTTTGATAAACAACAAACAAACAAACGAACGAACAAACAAACATATTAAAATGAAACTTTTAACGTCTGATCTATTTTAACTATTATTTAGCAAAAATGGCTAAATATAAACAAGAAACAACATTCATAACATGCATAGACTAAGTGGAAAGCACGGCCGTAGAATGGCAAGGCTGCTAGGTAGAAGGATTATTTTGTACCACATTTCGAAAAGGCGTTATCCTCTTTTATATAACTGCGTAGCGAACATATTTCTTTACCCCGAACCCATGGAAAGAAGTGGTGTATCCTAAGATTTCTAACGGCATCTAACCTCAAGTTTCAGGTCTAGTCCGTGAAGCCCTTGAAAAACTCGTCCAAAATCATCCACCTCATTCTTGCTTTAAAATAGCCGCTTGATTTATTCATCATTCGATGGAGAAGAAACAGTCAGACCTCTATAAAGCAGTTACTCTCGGGAATAGTCTGGGCCCGGTTCCTGAAAGGCCGATTAGCGTTAAGGTATCATCCACCCTCAAGCACCCTCCTCCCGTTGATCAGCGCTAGCGCTTTTGCTGTTAACAAATACCCCCGTAAACCGTACATTTTCTGAAAGCTTAATAGTTCCAGATTGTTGCTTATTTCTTTTAAAAAATCAAAATATCAACGCGATTTAGAAATGAGAAGCTTTTTGTGAAAGTGGGTGTCTCTGTAAATTTAAGTCCAGTCCAGCCAAAAATTAACGGAAGAACCCAATTAAGAACATATTCGCTTCTTAACACGTTTGACTAAGAAACCATGTCTCAGATTTTTGTCAAGTGCGTTTGTTCTGTTATTATAAGCAAGTGAAGTTAGGGATAGCAAATCATTAGCACTACCTGTGGAAAAAATACTCTAACTCGAAAACGAAAAAAGAAATCAAACTTCGTAGACACGGTTTTTTAGAAAAACTATCTGACAGTAAGTTGGCCAAATTTCAGCCAAATTGGTTCACGGGTTGCCGACTTGAAGTTTAAAACGTACCCTCAACTTTTGACAGAGGAAAAAAGATTTTTGGCGGCGTATTACCCGTGTTGAGATTATAACAGATTATAACACCAAAGTTGTCAATGTTGATGCATACCAGAGAAGGGACAATAATAGTGACACAGCAGGAAAAGTTGGAAAAGAAACCCGACAACAAATGAACAATTCATTTCAAAGGCTCTGCTCTGTTCCATACTTTCTGTTGTCGAGAAAACTTCATTAGTTATTTGCAACGGGCAGTTTTCACCGGACAAGCCAAGTTGAGCCAAGCCCACTTTTACTCTATACATTTTTTAAAAGTTCGACACTTCCCTCTGGAAAAATCGACAACAAACCGCTTCCTGGATTTTTTCTTAAAGCTTCTTTCCCTCTACAATAGACTTTCAAAACAGCACTTCGTCCGATTTTTATATGGCGCGGGACCTCTCGCTTCTTCGTCTCTCGATTGGCTGCTTCGCGGCCCAAAAAGCTCTTTCCGCTCGTTAACGAACTCGTGAAACTCGATTCCGCGGTAGCTTCAATGGGTTTTTCAGGAGCTTCGTCATCTTTTAGCCATTTTTCTTGATTGTAGTAGGAGCCCTTGTCACTCTCTGCTAATTTCGAAGCCCACTCTTTGGCGGCAAAACAATTTTGTCGCCTTCTTTCGTCTTGGAGTGGAGGACGAAAACGGACAAGCTTTTTTTTCTTCTTTGGAGGTGTTCACTTTCAAACTCCAGGGAAAAACAGTGAGGACTATACTTGTAAACCGCGATTTCTGTCAAGTTGCGTGATTAGCTTGGTTCAACAGCGGCACCCGTATCAAGTATGACAGGACTTGTCAACGATCAATTAAAATAATTAGCATAGAAAAAACTTTTGCACTCTATAAGTCTGCATAGAAAAAACATTTTTGCCTGGAACTTTTTTTAAAAGAAAGCTCTTGATGAGCTCTATTTAATCGTCTAAAAATTGCAAATTTAGAAAAATGATGGTTTTTTTTTACCCTGGATGATACCTTAATCCAAGATTAAGATTTTGTACCGCTTTTGTATTTTACATTCCTATGCATTGCTTAGGGTAACATTTTGTGTCTCAGTATCATTACTGTTTCTTGTAGTTAAGGCTCAACAGAATTTTGTAACCTCGAGTTGCATGTTATCAGACGAGAGAACTGTGCTTGAAATTTGGCTTAATCCTGGGTTAAACTTACCCATCTTTCGAGGAACCGGGCCCAGGTGATCGCTTAATAGAATTTGTATGCTAAGCAGAGGTGTTTTGAATGTTTAATGTTAGGAACAACAGCAACGTAAAAAAAACAACAGCAACAACAACTATTGTAAACTGCTAACGTTTATTTCAACAACTTGACTGATTCACCAAGTCACGGAATTCCCAAATCTTTTTTAGCTGTGAAAAAGATCTAATAAGGCTGGTTGCAGTGTAAAATTGTCATACAAAAAGGTTCTGGAGGTTACAGTTTTGACTTTAATCTCCATGCATGAAACTATAAAAAAATCCCCTCAAGCCCACAGTCTCTCGAACTGTTTGACCGGTTAAGCTCTCCTTTAAGGGGGTATTCCGACATTTGGCTTAAAAGGGTTGTGTCACTTTAAAGGGTACGATTTTCAGGTCTTGTGTCGAAACTGGAATACAATTTTTACCAGTCAGTGATTTGAACAGGAAATGGTGTCATCGTTGGTGTTCCTTGGTTTGGTTGTATAGTACCAACAATAAATTGTTATTGTTTTAAAATCCAATTCTAATAAAAAAAGGTGTCAAATCCAAAAGTATCCTTTCTTGTGTGAAAAAGGGAAACAAGGCAGATAAAAACACAAGCGAGATATATTCGTATCATTATTATTTTTTTAATCTACAGACATTGTTTATTTCCTTGGATTGTCATCATTGTCGGGTTCAAGCCGGTTGTCGCATTTATTTTTATTTTTGTCAAAGCACGTCGCCAGCTAAGTAAAGAAAGGAGATTTATTTAACCTTGAACTTGGAGATTTATTTGAGCTTTACACAAAGTTATTAAGTTTTTCGTCTACACAAGGTAGTGAAATGGACGGATTCGCTTTCGAACAGATTCAGGGTATGAAGGCCTCGGCGAGAGCTGCACCCAAAACGTCCCTAATACTTTCTTTTCTAGGGTGTGTGAAGTTTACATGTAAGACAGGAGCTTATGTCAGCTAGATACAATTTATTACTGGTGGACCCTGGACTTTTCTTTATGGCTCGGTAAAAGGACCTATTAAACTGGGAAAAAGAAAGTAAAAACTATACGTCCCAAAGGTGTGTAATAAAATTTTGCAAGGTTTGCATGAGTACATGAGCTCAATTTTTTCTTTTACCGGGTAGTTGATAAACTTTATGCTGTCATAAGTCAATTCAATATTTTTGGGAGTTTCGGTGCCCATTAAAGCCCAGTAAGTCTTCTCTTTTTTATCATTTTTACTTTTTGATTTCTTTAATAGTGATCCATTTTTTATCCTTTCTTCTTCCAGGAGGTTTCTACTCAGACACGCTGGCTTATGTAAATAACAGCTGCCTTCACTGCGAAAATGGGAGTTTTGTCCATTACAATAATGCTCCAGGGAAAAGTCCGTTTGATTGTAAGAGATGTCCCAAAGGTGATTATCCCCTAATCCCATCTCTTAAAGAACCATAGAGTTCAATTTTGTTGCCTTTAAAAGCTTAATGGAAGACTTTTCTGTGGATAATTTCCTTTTCCTAATATTTGTAGATCAACATTTATGCCATCATCAAAATCCATTTGATAGTTAGATTTAATATATAGCTTCAGCTAGGGCTAAAAGCGAAGCTCCCGTTAATAAATTTATAAGTTAAATCAAACAATAAACTTGAGTCTTCGATCTTTAGATAACTAGTAACTTGTCAGCGGATAAGTTCCAAAAAAACGCAAACGCGATTAGTCAACACCTGAGCCAGCGATACGGTCATGATACTGATATTCATGATACTGGTCAGCGGATACCCTGTTTTGACAGCTGTCAATTGACCATGATATGAATGAGCAATATCAGTTCGCAGGCTCCCAAACTAGCTAGAAAGTGTGAGATTTAACATTGGTTTCCCTGTGGTGCGGACAAATGGGCGGTCGTTCGGTCGGACGTACGGTCACGTGATTACAAAATTTCTCGCTAGCGTTTCGCGCGCGCGTGGAGCCCCCCTTAGCATTTTTGCATTTTCGCTTAACAACTATGGCTCATTGTATAAACGCAACAGGGGAACTTGGTCATAATGAAACGTACATCCACATTGCATTTTAGTTATAATTAAAACTAGAGGTTACAAATTGTAAGCGTAATACTGCGAGTAGATACTGAGCAGTAAAACATCACCTAAGCCGAAACGATAAATGGAGATACGCAAAATTTTGACCAGAGACTCTTTTATTGATCCAATTAATAGCTGTGGGATAAAGGATCACACGGAAGTGTGTTCTTTATGATTCGGGTGTTATTAGCCATTTTGCGTTCATACTAATTTGAAACCGTTTGTACCTGACACAATGAGCCAAACGTAGCGCAGTTAGGATGACGCAATGAGAGTGCGTGATAAGATTTCAAATTAAGTTATCGTGCCGTGACACCGCTGACTACCATCCTGACAAGAAAATTCAGATAAAAACACCTAAATAGCAGCAGGTCACCAAAGGGACCACTGGAGACCCAGGGATAGTGCGCTGCTCGCCTTGGGGATCGAAACAAATAGGTAGCCAAGAGCTACAAGGGTGCTGTGTGAGGAAGATTCACTTAAGAAAGTTAGAAAGTTGTGACATAGAAAATAAAGAAATCAGAGACACAACAATAAAACCAAACACCTTGTATTGTTGAAGAAATAAAAGGAAAGGTATGTAAAAAAATTCGGACATGACAATCCAATCAAGTACGCCGTAGTTGTGTCTAGTATGAATAACTTCAAAGCAAGACTACTACAATTTATACTCCACGAGAAGGAAATGGTCGCTGCGAAATCCCAACTGATACAAGGACCACAGGTCAAATTGAAAAATTTCTCGTAACATCATAGCAACCACCCGATGAAATTTGTACGTACGAAGCAAGCACAACCAGGTACTGAATTAGGTTCATTTATACCCGTCAATGAAAATTCGATCGAAAATCACATTTCATCGGTCGGGAACATTTTTACAGAAAGAGGGGAACAGGGCTACAATTAAAACAAGACGTAACAATTTTATACTGGCTTTAAAGGAGCACACATACATATAAATATGCGTATAAGTGAATAGTCGTTTACTTTCATACATTAATAACTGTATAATAACTAATAAGTGAATAGGTCTACTCATAAGCGTCCCTTTGACACAACGGAAACAAAATTATACTTGCCTGAGCTTACCTGATCTGTTCTAACCCTGATTTGTTAATGTAGAATCTGTTTTCAAACTAAAAGCGAACAGATTTTAAAAGTGCTCTCGATGCTAAAAAATCCCTGATAAACAAAACATTTACTTTGGTTATTACAGAGCCGTTTTCTCCTTTCTTTCGCGATAAAAAGGACTATATCTTCATACAACCGGAAGTTTCAGTGTTTGGTTAGCTTATTGTCGTGTTTTACGCTTCGTAAACCGGAATTTTATGTTCAGTAGTAACTTGACTGAAATTCGTATCTGACCTATTTACTGGTGTTCCTATTGAATAAACAAAAAGGCTTAAGTCTTCTTTAAAAAGAAATAAGACACTTGCTACCTATTCAAACTACAGTCTTATAGAAAAAAATGCTTAACTGCATTCATACCGATAAGATATGCTGTAGAAGTCTATCGGCCATCGTTTGGTTTTTGTTTCTAAGAAAGATCTTACAGTGGGATCATCTTTGTGCAAATAAAATCATTTCGATGTTTGTTGAGGCCAATCCTCAACAGGAGAACAATTTTGTTGTCCTAAGTCCGTTCCATTCCATTTTTGTAATTTATACTCCCAGCATGCTTAGTGAGCGCGTCTCAGTGTCGTCGTGTAGCGAGAAAGAAACCATGTGCTTTGTAACGCGCTAGTCGCCGGGAGTTTCTCATCGTATGGTGAGTCTTAGGAGCTCGTGTATTTCCAGATCCCGTTCCAACAGTGATTAAGTGTTTGTTTTGCAGGTTTTTACTTGCGAGGTGAAGTTTGTTAGCCAAAGATGAGACTCTAATTCCGATCCTGTTGTGTTGTTAAGAAAATATGCTGAGTGTGCAAGTCTCGATTATTAAACTTGTGTCCAAGAACCGGTCAGTGTAAAACGCAGACTGCGGACTGCAGACTGCAGACTGCGGACCAGGGGTAAAATGCAGATAGAGTGGATAGAGTGTAAAATGCAGGCTGCAGACTGAGAGTAAAACGCAGGCTGGGTGCAAAATGCAGAATGAAGATTGTAGACTTCACAAACAATTGTGCTCCTTCTTCTCCAAATAACTAGCTGGTATCAGTAACACACCTCGCTTCCTAGTCGAAGTTAGTACATTGCATATTCGCCAAAAGTTTAATGAACATCCAGACAGCTAAAGTCTGCGTACCTTGATTTTCAATCCTTTCATAGAAGGTCATCCAGATTTCCTGCAGAACATCTTCTTTTGTTTTTGGAATTATTTACTCCCTTTTTTGCCGCCATAATTGTTTTGAATTCTCTCTGTACAGTATTTT